TACTGCCAGCGCTTTCGAAAGTGTCTTGGCCGGAATTCCAGCAAGAGAGACCCGAGGCGCAAGTTTGCACGCCACGCGGCCCACTTGCATGTCCCTGTTGCAAATCTGGTAGAATCTACAGTTGTGAAGGGTGCCGTTGCTTTGGGCTCAGAATCAGCTGCTGGCTTCACGAGATACCGTGTCGCGGTGCAGCGCTGATGGACGTGAAACCCGCGTTCAGGGACGAGGTGAAGGTCCCTGCACCGCAGGATGTGCCGTTTCCCAGGTTCGTGAAACCGCCTCCTGCACGTCCACGTACATCTCGCAGTCGCAGCTCGTCGGCCGATTCCTGCGAACTGCAGATCGTGCTTGGACCTCCAGGAAGACCCGGGAGGCTCAAGGTGTCCGGGGCCAACATCGATTCGATGGTCAACTGCGATAGCAACAGTCTTCGACTCAGCGATTACCTTCGGCTGACCAACCGTCCTGGACCTGAGCTCTCCTTCGGCAGCGCTTTGCACGTTGGCGATGGTGTGAACGCAGTGTGCATGGTCTGCAGTACCCCGTCTGCAAAACTAGAGTGTGCTCTTGAAGCTTGTCTCCGGTTCTGGGGTGTCGTGGCAAATTTCTGTGGTTTCATTTGCAGATGGTGCATGCTTGAGGTCATCACAAGCCTCCCTTGAAGACCTGCAAGAGAGGGGCCTTGTGTGATTTCTGCCACTTGCACGATGGGCGCCGCAACCGACGCCCACGCAAAGCGCAGGAGCTGACTCTAGGAAGCTCAAGGCTTCAGTTTTTTTGCCAAAGGCTGTGCGAGAGCAACCTTTCTTGCAGGACCGATCTGGTCGGATGACCTGGAATGACACCGAAATACCAGTGCTTCAGGGCATCCGCCTGTAGCGCTAAGCACCTTCCGTGCAGAATGCAATGCGGGGCGTCTGGCCTGCATGCCAGAAGAGCATGCAACGCAACAGAACACATGTACTGTACAGTGCAGTTGGCGCGGTTCCGGAGACGGCCGTGTGCGTGCGCATGTCTGCCGTTTGAGGGATTCTTCCACGAGCAGCATGTCGCAACAGCCGAGGGATATGCGATTGGCATGTTTGCTCGAGCAACAATGCAGCCGCACCTCCCTGAAGATAT